GTCCACACTATGGGCGCAGGTTTGGTTTGAGAGGAGCCACTGTTTCGCCAGGCGTGAAAATGTGCCATAGTTTGTACATGTGATCCGCTCAGTTGGTAACATGTTCCGCTGACGTTGAGCGAACGAAACTAATGTATTGTATCATCAGTGTATAATTTGACATAACAGTGAGAGGCTGTTACTTCGCTGTTTACTATGAAGCAGCAAGGAAAGGAAAAAGAACAGGCCTAACATCACCTATAACAGTCCCACAGCCCTATACCACCCACTTGAGTTTACCTAAACCCAAACAGCAGAGACGGGACCAGACCTGAACATTAAACAGCCCCAAGAATGTTAAGCGTGTCATGGAACTTTTACCACTTGTGATCCTTCATTTTGGTTCATTTACAATAAACAGACTACTTCAAAATAGTAGTGGTGGTGGTTTTTACTGCAGCGTTTGCCTTTTTCCCTGAGTCAAATTAACTGGTGTGTGCTGACATCTAGTGGAGAGAGCAAAGAACTGCAATAACAGAAGACACAAAAATGGTACAATGCAATTCTTTTATTATAAGTGCCAAGCAACAAGCTGGATTAATTTTTGTGAAAACATCCAAAACTCCATTTTACCAACCCCTTCCCAAACACATACCACAAAATTTTTTCCCCCCGCATCAACTTTTTTTTGCAATATATCTACAGGAATGTCTCGTCTCATCTCATAATAACAGAGATACTTCAAATACTCAGAGTATAGTGTAAACAAGCACTGCCTCACTGCTGTCTAACAAAGCAAATACAAACAACATGAAAGCTCTCTCCAGCCCCCTTTGGCGCTGAGACTTCCTCTAGTCTCTCACATATGGGTTAACAGGTCTGCCTATGAAAACGGGGAGCGCTTTAAAACTTCCTGGGCTGCTGAATGAAGTATGTTTTGGGGCAGTGGGGCTTTTCCACGGCGGGTCGGACCCTGCTGTGTCTGACGCTCACGGGGGTTTCTGGGAAGTCGTGGCTGAGCTGGGAAAAGTAAAGGAAACGAGAGAAAAGTTAACAGTTGAACCAGTCTTGCCAGTTGTTTCGAGACAATAGAAAAATAGGGAGAGTTGCTTACCTTGTCGAGAGTCCCGGAGAGAAGGAGATTGACTTGGTTTATTCTGTTGGGAGCTGGGACAGGCCTGTTGGAAAACAATATTTAGTGTTTCGCAAACACACATTATATAACATTGTGACAACAGTGATTTTTAGTCTCAGTTAAAGCAAGACTGAATTTCAAAAGCCCTAAACACTTGGACATAGGTTAAAGCCAACTGAAATTTGACACACCCAATCTGTATTCATCAGCTTGCACTCCTTAATGCGTTTTTAATCCATGTAAATACAGAAAAGTACAAGAGTATGATTAGAAAAAAAAATCCCCGAAATGTTGAACCAGTATTTTCTATTCACATTTGGCTCAAACCGAACCAACAATCTGACAATATGTGTACACACTGATGCAAAAAAGTACAACAAATATTATATTGCAAACAGATATTTCATAAAAGTTAACTCTGGAACTTTACTAAAACTTTAGTTTGTGGGACGGCCAAATATTTTAAAATACTGATCAGTCACATGCCCCAAAAAAACAAAAATATAAGCTGAAATTAAAAACTAAAAATCTAATTATTTAACCGCCCCTTTATAAAAAACAAAACAATAACACAGCCATGACAACAGTTAGATAGTCACGCGGAAACATGCAACTCTTCACTATGGCATTTCTTGTTAGGCTAAAAATACTGAAGTGTTCATGCATCAGTGAGCCAATAATTCTGCAGACTCCACTTACTTTATTTTTTCAGTCCTCTTTGCATCCTTTTCCGGGGTGCTACTGTCCTCTATGCTTTTCTTGGCCACTCGTTTACCCCCAGCCTTCACTGTTCAAAAAGAAAAACACGCACATTTTCAGCATTTTCTGCAATTACATGAAAAGGAGGGATTTCTAAACAAGTACAGGGCATTTCGCAAACCTACAATTCAGACTAACCACGTGGGGGAAGAAAATTGCTTCAAGAGACTGCATATGTACACAGTGTCCTCCTGGAAGTGTTTTTGTTATTGCGTGTTCACTCACTGCCTGTTGGGAATCTCAATGCAAGTGACCTACATAATGCTTAAAAAGCCTCTTATGGCTAAGGGTTGATGAGGAGGGGTCTGCAAAAACAAACACTGCAGGGTTCAACTACCACAGAAGTAAATAAACACTTGTACAGTAGCCAGCTATGGGCATCTGCATACGTATAGAACATAATGTCTCCATAACAGTGACTTCATTCAATGTTTGGTCAGCAGTTCCACAATAATTAAATTGGCAATTTGTACAGACGACTTTGCGATTGACCACTAGTAGCACAAAGCCTATATTTGGTTGTAAGAGAGTGAAAATGCTGCATAAACCTTTGTTTTTTCCATTCTTCTTCAAATTTATAATTTAAAAAGAACATAATGTATCACATTTTTGACATTATGAATTTTAACTTTTGTCTGGATAATCACAAAATCGATGTGAATGCAGTTTTGTGGGACATCCTGTTAGGCTTGCACCACTCTCCCCATTCATTTCATATTATTAAATTAACTAACCAAAATTTTATACCTATGCATAAAATAAAGAAAACAAAACAGAATTACACGTTTTCTTTAGCTAGAAGAAAACGCAAAATCTACTCTCAAGAGCACTTTTTAAAAAATAATTTCCTTAGAGACTAGTTAGCACTTTGTGTACGACCGTGATTTAACCCTTGCTGGATCGCTAGCGCAAGACAACAAAAGATGCAAAAAATTAAGAAATTTGCGTGATCTAACCAAGACTATTACAAATGCATAGTAATGTAAGCTATTGTGCATGTAAAGGTTCGTTGCAAATAACACAAAAAAAGGGAAAAACTGCGGCGAGAACACGGTGTTACTTTGGGGGAGACTGGGCAGCACGTCACGCTCTGCAAACGCTGGCACTTTGTCGAGTACAAAACCATCACGCTTTGCATCAGCGTGGTGGAAATCTAACGCATTTCAACAAAGAGAAAAATGTTACCTGCGGGAGGATGGCCCGCTTTGAGCACGGTGGCTGTTTTCCCCGCGGGTTTAGACACTGGCTGAACCATTTTTTTTTTTTCCTTGCAAGTAGTAAAGTAGTAAAGCGATGAAGAGTACAACACAAACACCAAACCTCGCCGCTCTACGCCCACTCCGTTGTTTTTAATGCCCCAAACGCGTCATGACGTCACCGGCCACAGGAAGCGTGCGTCGCGGAAACGCCCACCACTATTGTTATTGTTGAGTTAACGTTCATGAGCTGACTAAATACAAAACTTAACTCGGTGCAGGAGTTAATTTCGCTTTCATTTTTTAAAGCAGATAACATTAGGCTTTTTAAAATTGTGTTTTAGAAGTTTATAGACAGTTTAAAGACAGCTCCTTTGATTCTAAACACCTGTGGTATTTAGAGTAGCATAATTAAGGTTAAATTGGCGCCACCCTGTGAACAATATGCTACGTTACAAAAACAAACCGTAAAACTGACTTTTTTTTGTCCCACATCATAATTCATAAACCAAATTATTATTATTATTATTATTATTATTATTATTATTATTATTATTATTATTATTATTATTCATTGTTTTTTAATATTAGATATCAACTGTGCATAAAGCAAATGTAGGCTACTTTGCTTTAAATTTAGTAATAAAATAATTAAGTTACCTCAAAAAAAATAAATAAAATAAAATAAATAAATAATAAAAATGAACACAATACTAAAACTACATAATAAAACTACAAATAAAACTACTAATACTACTACTATTAATAATAATAATAATAATATTCATTGTTTTTTAATATTAGATATCAACTGTGCATAAAGCAAATGTAGGCTACTTTGCTTTAAATTTAGTAATAAAATAATTAAGTTACCTCAAAAAAAAAATAAAATAAATAATAATAATAATAAAATGAACACAATACTAAAACTACATAATGAAACTACTAATACTACTACTATTAATAATAATAATAATAATAATAATAATAATAATAATAATAATGAACTGAAGAGGAAATTCCACTGTGAGCTATTAGGCCTATTTATGTTTAGTGAATGTTTGAAGCTTGACAACTGAAATAATATTGCTTTTAAAACATTTGGACTAGTTATGTATTCTGAAAAATGTAAATATAAAATAAATAAAAAAATTAGTATATATGAAAAATAAGTAAAAGTGGGTCAAACCATAGCAAGTACTCAACCAACTCTAGGTGTCACTAGAGTTGGAATAAAGTTGAGTTGACTAAAGTTCAAGCCTTTCATTGGTATTATTGTATACTTTTTTTCCCCCCAAATAAAATACAACATCACATCATTTAAAAAACAAAACTGACCTTTTTATTATTTTATCATGGTTGTGATATAATGCCATCTTTTCCACATAGTTTCTTCATCATATTTATATATCTATAGAGATCTTTAACATGGCACGAGTTTTATTGTTGAACCAGTGCTGATGAGTGTAAACCAGCCAACATGATTTCATTTTTTTCTCTTATTTACAAGTGAAAGAAATGTACAAGACTCCATGGCATTACACATTTTGCAACAGTAAGTACAGGTACACGTTTTGATCCCTCTGTACAATCTAACATAAGTCTACAGTTTCATTTTTTACAGTTACGGAGTTCATGATCCTTGGGCTTCGGCACGTACATATTTCTTCTTCTCTGCTTTTCTCGCCGCGCACCCTCGCTGACATAACTTCACCACGCTAAAGAAAAAAACTAACTTCTATTGATCTAGACAATACTAGAACGTCCAACTAGAATTCCCAATCTAATTCTTTTCTCTACTTGAAAAAATAACTTAAAAAAACATCCCGAGACTTTCTTCTTCTTTGGCACACATACCGTCCTCCTTCTTCCATCTTTTGTCGAACTCCACCATTTTGTACACACAACACACAATCGATATTTAAAGCCGAGTTCATGAAGTCTTTTAAGTTTTCTTTGTGCTCCCAAAATGTTCCCAGAAATTCGATAATGGAATGAATTATACCCAGGAATCAGGCGAGCCCGGGTACTGGTCAGGTCTGTAAGATGGTCGCCGCGTGCTAGCGTAGAAGTCCACATAGTTTGTTTTGTGTGTGTGTGTTTGCGAGCTGTAGTCGACGGCGGGCGGGGGGTACGTGATGACCTCGTCCATGTAGAGGTCGTCGTAACCATGGGGATGCTGCAGGTACATTCGGTAGGTGTCGTAGTTCCTCCTGCCAGGCTCATCCGTGTAATACATAGGCTGAAAAAGACAAGGAAATCTGTGAGTTTTCTGTTTTTTTTAATGTAGTTTTATGTATCTTTCACAACTAGAGGAAGATTCGTTTAAAGGTGCACTTTGTAACTTTTGTGGTGGAGGGTTTGCCGCTTGCTTGTCTCCATGGAGATGATATGGCTTTTGCCTTGGATGTTCCATAGTACAGTAACAGACTTTAAACTTAAGGGGACAGTTCGGAATTTTGGACATAGGGACCTCATTTCCTAGTGAGCCAAAATATTGGAGATGTGTGGAGACACTTTTTTAAATATTCCATCCAGTCCTTGTATTTGCAGAGGTCGCTGGTGCTAGACTAGTGCATGTCAATGGCCATTGTTATCCTGCCACTAAAAACAGTCTTACCCACTCTACAAAACACCCGAAGCAAAACAATTGTCTTTGTTGATAGGATAATTTTAGAAATAAAAACAACCTTGCATTTGAAGGATTTATGTCTGAGCAACAGCAGCGAGTTGTACTTCTTGATAGAAAGCTTGGCAGCGGCGGACTGATGTATGAGAAAATAGTCCCTCAACATGCGACGATTCATGCGATGCAAGGTTAGTTTTATTTCAAACATTATTCTATCAACACAGACATTTACATCGACAGTCTGGCGTAATAATAGATTTGCTTCAGGCGTTTTGTGGAGTGGGTAAGACTGTTTTTATTGGCAAGATAACTATGGCCATTGACATGCACTAGCCTAGCACCAGCGACCTCTGCAAATACAAGGACTGGATGGAATATTTAAAAAAGTGTCTCCACATGTCTCCAACACTCTGGCTCACTAGGAAATGAGGTTCTATGTCCAAAATTCTGAACTGTCCCTTAAGTCTTACATTAAATACAATTATAAATGTTTATATTGCTCTTAAGTTCAATTAAAAACATTCATTCACACTGTAAGCAGGGTAACATCTCCACAGATCTGTAACTTGGCCCGGTGGCGTTAGTTGCCTGTTACCATGGAAACAGATTTGCTTAGTGTCATACTGTGGAACATAACAGGCAAAGTAATAACATCCAAATGGAGACAAGCTGGTTACACACCTTTAAGGAGATGTGGTTGTACTCATTTTAAGTTTTCTTTGGGATGTGACTATCAAAATACAACTGGGCACATATTATAGTGGAGTATAAATGAGAAACACAGAAAAATCTGAAATACAGATTTTGACTGTGGATAAGATTTGACTGGACCTGGTTGCTTTAACTAGCTGTTCTGGTTTTGGTTTTGATCCATCTGAACAAGACTAGATTAAAGATAAAAAATTCAAGGATTTATTGTCATTGTCATAACAAAATGACCTTTAGAGTATTTAAATATTAGTGTGGCTTGTGCAAACAGTAACAGTGCAATTCATGAAGTGCAAATACTGGAGAGTAAATATATACACTAGACTAAAACATACATCAGTTTCCCATGGTCTTGCAATCATTAATACTACTCTACCTGTAAGAGACATCCTCCATTATGATAGCAATAAGTGGAGTTTCCCTCTTGTGGTATGTATGTACAAAGTTTGTGTTTGTGGTGAGTATATCGAAGCACTTTTGTTTCACTTTTTATAGTGACAGGAAACATCTTGTTTAGGGTTTGCAGCTCAAAGTGCGTGTGACTTCCTCAAATGCAATCGTTTATCAAGTACCGTAAGTGTGAGCATTGTAATAAGGAAGTTCAAATTTAGCTGAAAAGTGTAAAAAAGTCTAATGAACACATACAAAATTATGAATGGGTTTTGTGGCATTAAAAGGGTCTGTTTTCTGATCTATGCTATAATGCTTCCTCATCACAAACATACCTGGGGTTGAGTTTATTTCATTCATAAACCCTGAATATTTAGGCCAAATTCTTCTCTCAAACAGAAAACAGTCTGCTCCACCGCGCTTTTAAACTCCATAAACCTTCACTAGAATAATTTGGATGATTTCAGCCGAGGAACTGCCTAATAAAACATAAAAAGTAGCTGTTAACTTGAAAACTACCACTACATAACATCACAAGGTGGAACAGAACCTTTTAAACTATAGAGATGCAGGCTAGACTAATAATAAAAAGTTACTCAACACGTGTGAATGAAACAAAACACAACTCCAGGTATGTTTTTGATCAGGTAATGCCATTTTAACATGTCTTAAAGCACTGTTTTCCAAAGACTGGGTCAGCATGTAGGACTGCAATATACATACATATACATCTCTACACAACCCTCCATTCCTCACTTTTTATCCGCGCACTCCCCGATCCTCATTTTTTCGGCAGCCAAACCAATTTTCTGGAAACACTGATTACAGTTTTTGATTGTTTAAAACTTGAGTACTGTATTTTTCGGACTATAAGGTGCACTTAAAATCCTTTAATTTTCTGAAAAATCAACAGTGCACCTTATAATCCAGTGTGCCTCATGTTTTAATTCTGAGTCCTGTTCTTTAGTCCAACAGAAGCTCAAGGAAAGACCTGTATTTTTATCGCTTATAGTTTATGCAAATGTAGTTTTAGGTTTCATTTCTGTAAAACATAAACAGATGTGCGCAAAGCTGCATTAAACACATTATTATTCAATGTATATTTGAGTCCTCCTTGTAGGAAATAAAAAAGTCTCAAGTATCGTCCGTTTGTTTCGCTTAATGCTCCTTATAATCCAATATAATCTGATGTGTTTTATGTATGAAAATAGACGACATTATTAATATTGCGCCTTCTAATCCTTAGTAAGTCTATAGTTCGAAAAATATGGTAATACTAATTGTTCAGAGAGACACAATCGCTCAGTCAACAATAAAATATCCTCTTTAATGTTCAATAATGATCAAATTTATTTTGTGATTTACGAATAATGTCCATTGACTTGGGTCGCGAAAGTTTGTGACTTTTAAAATATGGGTCCCCAGACAAAAAGTTTGGGAAACACTGGCTTAAAACACAAAAAAATAGATTTTGTGTAATATAGGACCTTTAATATGTGTGTATATTATTGTAAAATGTATTGTAAACTAGTCTACGACACTCATCACATTCACTATTTGAAATTGACTGACTCTTTCATCATCTTTGCCCTCCTCTGGTGTAATCCGTGCGGGTGTGTTTGAATAGTTTTGCCCTTGACAGCTCCAGACTGGCCCAGACCCTCCCAGTCGCAGCAGTCACATCCACTGGTGCCCACACAAAAGCTGACGAGCTGGGCCCCTCCCGGATTCAGCCTTTAACCCGCAGCTGAACACATGTCAGTCTCTTTGTGTTTGATCATTGAGCCCGAAAGAGCTGATCCAGCTATACCACCAGTCAAAAGTTTGGATTCACCCTTTCATTCTGTGTTTTTTCTACTACTTTCTACATCTGATATACATACAGAACACAACAAATATGTGAAGCAAGATATATTTGGTGTCATCAAATGTAAAAAGTAATAAACATTGAAAAAAAAAAGCATTGAATGAGTCCAAACTTTTGATTAGTAGAGTACATTCTGCTGAGTGAAATAGTCTGAAGTAGTTTTCTTCAAATGTTTTGCTTTAATTTCTTCTTCATCATCAGTTTTAACCTTCTTTTTGAGGACTTTAAGCATTAAAACAAGATACATTTTGTTTTGACAGCTCATAATAATGAAAAATGAGCACTGTTGCCATAGTTTTGAAACCTTTGGACACTCATCGGTTTCAGCGTCCTGTTATTTGCAAAATTTTACAGTTTTTCTCCCATTCAAAAGATATAATAGTTGATAAATTGTTAATCGTTATGGCAACTGTCAAAATATTTCACTATTCTAAAACCTCTGGATAGAGTTTCAGAAGGAGTTTTTCTTTACTGAGTATAAAATGAGACACTTCATTTGGCAAGTAACAAGAATTGTGGACACTTTTTAAACTTTAGTTAGTTCTGACTCTACTGAAAAATGTCCCCAAAACTTGCTGAGATGCAGAACTGCCTATTCTAAGTTCTGTCTCAAGCAAAAATAGATAAACCTTTATGCATTATAAGTTAAGTTAATAAGTTAAGTTAATTACAAAACTATCCAAATATTTACCGTATTTTTCAGAGAATAAGTCGCACTTTTTTCATGGTTTGGGTGGTTCTGCGACTTATACTCCGGTGCGACTTATATATTAAAATTTTCACACTGACAGCCTTGAGAGGGCGCTCTAGTCTTGTGTGTCAGTATCTACTACTCTTATTACTCCTGTACCACTGTCACTTGGCTCTACTGCGCATGTCTCCTGCATGTGTCCTGCTGCAAGTAGTGAAATATTCAGTTGAAACAGTAATCGAGCAGCAGAAAGAAAGTTTGGAGTGAGTGAGAAACTTGTGAGGGAATGGCGGAAAGCGAGGATGGTGAACACAGGTTTATGGTAACCGGGAGGGTGCGCCATGTAACTTTCCTGGAAGTCACTGGATGGACTGACAAAGCCCGGACTTCAGGGACAACCAAAACCATCCTGTCAGGATTCAGAATGGATGGAATAATTCTAACTGGAACTGATGCTGAGTCTGACAGCTACACAGAAAAGGAAGTGGCACTATGTTTATCTCTGGAGGTTGTGGAGTTGCTCAAAAATGACACAGAGGATGAAGAAGTCAATGGATTTAGTGATTTGGAGTGAGATGGAGAGTTTGGTAAACTTAAGTTATGTTTATACTATAGTTATCTGAATAACTCTTAATATGTTACGTGAACATATTAATGCCTATTCAGTCTGTTGTTCTCTGTTCTATTGTTATTACTATAACTTGCCTTTCAAGATGAAATGTTGGTTCCTGGTCTCTCATTTTATAAAACACATAGAAATAGCAGCAGATAGAAATAGCAGCAATGTATTGAATTAAAATCTCAAACTGTTGTAAAAAGAAAAATCCTGAAATTCCTAATCAGAAGAGTTTCTTTGTTGTAATGTTATACAGTATGTCCTTGTCCTCTTTTATGTTATGTAACACTTAAATAGGTGGGAGGTGGGATAAGTCTTATCATGGACCAGATTTTCCTAAGTACCGTCCAGTCACAACAGAGGGCACCATCTGTCCAATCAGAGCAGGATTGGGGCTGAGGCTCAGATCAAAGAGCAAAGGGGGGGTTCTTTATTAAATTGTACATAGATAATACACTAAACTATTTGTTGTTTCCTCATCACAAACAGACCTGGAGTTGTGTTTTGTTTCTTTCACACATGTTTAACACAAAAACCTTGCATATTTATGCTGAGTTCTTCTAATAAAGGGTTATTAAAACGTGTGAATGAAACAAAACACAACTTCAGGTCTGTTTACGATGAGGTAACAGCATTATAACACGACTTAAAGCTCATAAGAATCAGTTTTGCGTAATATAGGACCTTTAAGTTGACTATTATTCATGATTTTGCAGTACATTTACCTGTGTTCGTCTTGGCTCTTCTCTTGTAGGTGAAGAGTAGTAATACGGTGAAGGCTTCCCAGACCCTAAAAGACAAAAGAACCAAAACAAAAACAACTTTATATTATTAAATAGTCAGAAACCGCAAGAAATTATAACAAAAAGCTGAACATTCCAACTGTTGAAAATGACTTCACTTGAATGTGCAAGAGAGGAATAGCATAACATCAATACTAGGCCAACATCTGCAGCTCTTGTGTTTACATAGCCCGAGGGAGGAGTGTTTGACTTGGCTTTTCTATCAAGCCAGAGGAATCCTGTAACTCAATTTCCAGTTGGCTGAGTAATACATGAGGGGCTGTGGCTTCTGCAGCATGGCAAAAAGTAATATTAGTACAGCACAGTATATAGTAAGTACAAATTACTCAAATTAAGAAGATTTAACTTGATTTGAGCAGAAGACAACTTAACAGAATGAAATGAAACGGTTACGCTTTCTTCAGTATGAATACAAATTCATAGACGCGGCTCAACTATCAAAATCCATCATCACGTCACAGGCATTATACTGAGCAGAAGAAACTTGACTGAGATGCTGGACTTTTGCATCACACACACCACGGACTGAACTAAGATGGAACCAGGACTAACCCAGGACTAACCTAGAACTTATTCCAGAACTGAACCAGGAGGACTAAACCAGAACTGAACCAGGCCTGACTGTCGGGACAGGCCCAGAGGTGCGCTCATGTAGACCATCGGGTGACCCCAGGGGAAAGGACCAGTGCAGAGCTCCGCACCTCAAGGAGCTAAATGGTGGAGAGTTGGTGCTTGGGCTTCATCTCTCCCCTGGCTCCTGTGGTGGTTCCTGGTGGTGGTGGACGTCTCTCTGCTCCTGATGTAGACGGCTCCTCTGATGGTGCTTTCTCAACTGGTTCGCCTGTATTCAGCCTCACATTTTACTATGTGTCGTTGTATGTATTTTAGCAGGTTAATGTGTGTGTGTGGGTGGGGGTGGGTGGGGGGGGGGGGGTTTGGGTGTCTGTGATGTTTGGTTGTGTCGAGTTGGGCAGCTGTGGGGGTTGGGTTAGTGGGTGGGTGGGTGGAAATGTGGGATTGTTTTTAATCTGTGTAAAGCACTTTGTGTTACATTTTTGTATGAAAAGTGCTTTATAAATAAAGTTTGATTGATTGATTGAAATGCAGCCCTCACCCAATCGCACTTTGCGGAGACCCTGCCTCTCTCTCAAGTCTAAGAATAGTCCTGATTTAGTCCTGGTTTAGTCCTGACCCGCCCGTGTGTAATCACTACCCGCCCACATACTCGCCTGTAAAATTCCATAAAGTTAAAACCCGCCCATTTCAGCAACTATTTGGGTACCCGACCCGGTGCAGGACTCTGCCTTGGATTTACTAAATTGAAGGTGGTTTTATAACTCAAAAATACCTAGAAAAACAGACATTCTGATGGTTAGCGTGGTCGCCTTTCCACAGATCTGACCTGTAACTTGGTCTAGTTTGGTCTCCATGAAAATAGAAAGGTTTAATGCCACACTGTGAAACATTCCAGACAATGCAATAACATCTGCATGGACAAAAGCATCTGACGAACACTCCACCAGACAAGTGCAATGCAGCTTTAAGTGTAGCAAAATGTATTTTCATATTTTAAGTACAAAAAGTCTTGTTCCATTGCTGGACAATTTTACTTGTCAAATAAAATGTACTCAATATAATATGTTTTTCAATTCAAGTCATTATAACTTGGCAAGGTTTACATTTTTGTAGTGTGTTTACTCTGTCGTCCATGTGCTCGCAGCCCACTGCAGACTGGAGAGGGCTGGAGAGGGCTGGAGAGTGTGCCCGTGTGTGCCCGGTGCCCACTCCAAACCCAAGTCGTCTTCCTCAAGCTAAGAACGAGCAACAATAAGGACCCTTGTTCACTGCACTGTTTTGTGGTCTGCTATTCTGCATTTCCGATCAGTCAGTAAAAGGAGCTCTGTGTACCATTCATTACAGGCAGAGCAAATACGAAGACTGCGCCAAAGAGTTGTTGTGTGAGATCTAGAGCCTATGTAAGAAGAAAGGGGAAGTTTTCATTTTGGTTGTCGTGAATTTATCATATCATTTGTGTCATTGATTAGGGTCACAAGAACGAGATTTTTATATAACTTATAATAAAGTTCATAATTTAGGCCTTAGTGTTTTTAGATTTTTTAAAATATATTTTTCTGTCATTGTACAACTGCTTTTTTGGAACTGTGGCTTCTCAAGAGACGTAACTCAACACCAGCATTAACAGTTTTTTTGTCCAGAAAAAAAAAAAAAAAAATCTAAGAAAGATAAAGATATTTTTCCTCTTGTGGCAATTTTATCTTATGAGATCTTGTGACATGACATCTTGTCCCATCCCCTGTCATTATGCAGGTTTGAAATCAACTAAAATTGTTATTAATAGTAGTGATAAAAAGGGGTGTAACATGTATTTGTGCTGAACCGTTTCAGTACAGGACGTTCGGTTTGGCGCAGGGCTGCGCATGAGTGAGTTTGTGCAATTTGTGTGTGTTTACATTCTTCCACTACATGTGCAACTACAAGGAAGGTTTGGCTCTTTAATATTCACAAGGAAACTCGTCCGTGATTGGTGTGGCAGTGTTTCCTGCAGCGCTTTATAGTTATGGTGACCGCCTTGACAACAATTGCCCTCCACCTTGACTACATCCCTCTGAACCACGTGATTCCTCGCAAAACTACGGTCGTTGAGCCCCAGTCCCCACTTTCACCTTTCGCTGGCACGGAATCTCCGTCCCTGTCAGCAGATCTCCACTTACTACAGACAATGTGGACAAGTTGTTTTTTTCTAGCCAAAAATGTGAAGATTGAGTAAAACTTTATGCTGGAACTGTTAGTACTGCGCTTTACTTTTTGAAAAATTTAGTTTAATATTTACAAGGAATTTATTTTTTATATTTAAAATGTTATATTTCATACATTTGTTGCTTATTTGAGAATATATTATTTAACTTATTAGTATTACGAAGCAGCACTTTGCATTTATTTTACTTTCCTATTTGTATAATGTTAAAACAAGTTGTTGGTTTAATAAAAACACAAACAAGTAAATGTTTTTGCATTTTGTTCACATACTGTAGAGAATATGAGCCGAACCATGACCTCAAAAGTACCATGATTTTTGTGTACTGTTATACTCCTAGTAATAAAGCAATAATGTATTTTATAGTGCATTTCCAGACGCTTTACAATATTGTGTGTTAATCATTCACTCTATACTCTGTAGTGCTAAATTATTATTACACTACAGGCTGCCAAACTGTGTCATCAGCCTCTCTGACCACCACCAATCAATCCCTCACTGTTACGGCCCCAGGCCTTAGTTGTAATATTTCTGCAGAGTTCTCTTTGATTCCTGCTGCAGGAGTCCTGGTCTGTGATTGGTGGAGCAAGTCGACGCCCACCTCACCTGCAGCCACCTCCCCCTATTTAAGGAGATTCCCAGCACCTGTTTGGGGGCTGCTGGCCTTGGTGGCCAGTATGCCATTTTGGTTTTGTGTTTGTGTGTTAGTCTAGTTCTGTTTTGTGCCTTTTTTGATTTGGTCACTCGATTCTGTTTGTGGGTTTATGTGGTTTAATTTGGGGAACTTGTGTTTTAGTTTAGTGTGTGTCCCTAAGTTTTACCACTCGTTTTTGTGTAAGCCTGCGTGACCCCTTTTCTGGCACAAAACTCTGTTTATTCTGTTGTTCTGTTTCTTAGTTTAGGTTGTTTTCTGTATATTTTTTGTGTTTTGTTATTTTACCTTTACATTCCTGTTAATTAAACATTACTTAATTTATTCCATTTTACATCTTGGTTTTATTTTTGTTACTTCCCTCACCCCAAACGAGCTGGGTCGTAACACTCACACACCACATTCATTCTAGGACAACGTGGGTAAAGTGTCTTGCCCATGGACACACTGACGGTTTGCACTAAAACCCCTGCCACCCCACAGCTCCACCTGGTATTCACCGTGGTCTCAAATCCAAGTAGATCAGGCACTGAAATTTGAAATCATTTGTGAAAATGAATTGAAAAACTATGCCACAATAAATAATAAAAAAGAAAAATGACAATGCCTTTCTCAGATGATATAAAATATTAGTTAATATCCTGTGTTTTCTGGCCAAAAAAGTGCACTAACTTTCTAGGAGCTGACAGGCCTGAGCAGAGATAATGGCAGAAGGGAGACGGGTTATAGACTCTGCCTACGGCGTTCAGAGGATAAAAGGGATATGACTCTGCGCAGAAAAGCTACAGGCCAGTCTGAGATTACAGCCCAGGAGAGAGAGAGGCATGCTCTGAATATGGTTTCAAATAAAAAGCTGGAGAACAATGTCTACACACATTATATCATTTTAAATTATCATATATTTTATCCACATTGGTTGATAATATGTGAGGAAAAAGATGGTTATATTTAAATAAGTTTGCATTTTTGGAAGATAAGTTTAAAATTCAACTCCAAATATCCATTCTGTCCTCTTTTTTTGGAGTTATTTACATACAGTTTTTTTTTTTTTTTTTAATATATATATAAAACCTCCATCAATAGAATAATTTAAGGCCACAGTATGTACTTTTAGAGCCAAAAACGGACTCAAAATAAATAATGTTTTTCATGTTTGTTGTGTTTATTGCACTGAAAATGCTGCTTTACTGTGAGTGGGCTTGCATCTCCACAAACCTGACTTATGTTTTAGGACATACTGCAGAATATTAGAGCCAAACAAATCTATGCCCATGGAGAGTCTTCATTCAGGTGATGTGCTGCCTCCAGAAAATGACATGTTTTAAAGGGACAGCCTGGAATTTTGTTCATAGGACCTCATTTCTGAGTTCACCAGAGTGTTGGAGACGTGTGGAGACATTTTTTTAAATATTCCATCCAGTCCTTCTATTTGCAGAGTTCGCTGGTGCTAGGCTAGTGCATGTCAATGGCCATAGTTATCCTGACACTAAAAACAGTCTTACCCACTCCACTAAACACCCGAAGCAAATCTATTATTAAGCCAGACTGTCGATGTAAATGTCTGTGTCGATAGAATAGTGTTTGAAATAGAACTAATCTTGCATCGCGTGAATCTTCGCATGTTGAGGGACTATTTTCTCATATATCAGTCCGCCGCTGCCAAACTTTCTATCAGGAAGTACAAATCACTGCTGCTGCTCAGACATAAATCCTTCAAATACAAGGTTGGTTTTACCTCTAAAATGATTCTATCAACACAGACATTTACATCAACAGTCTGGTGTAATAATAGATTTGCTTCGGGTGTTTTGTGGAGTGAGTAAGATTGTTTTTAGTGGCAGGAAAACTATGGCCATTGACATGCACTAGCTTAGCACCAGCGACCTCTGCAAATACAAGGACTGGATGGAATATTTAAAAAAGTGTCTCCACACGTCTCCAACACTCTGGCTCACTAGGAAATGAGGTCCTATGTCCAAAATTTTGGACAATCCCTTTAATTGGCCAAATTAACTGGTTGTTTACATTATATTTAGACCATTTAAAAACGTTTGATTTCGATTACAATATATGTGCCTTATATTTAGCTCCTCTCTTCAGGCCAGAACTGAAGAGGCAGCTTGGATGAGAAGTGAATTTCTGAGAGCGAGTTGTATCCATGCCCATACCTGTATACTGGTTTTTATGTACACTGTTGTCTCCCTGGTAACTATAAAATTGCATAGTTGACTGCGCCCTCTGGTAGTCCCGCAGGGTGTCCCTCCTCTCTTTGATGCCCAACATGGCGGGAGAGGACGTGGCGCTGGCGGCTGGGAGCAGAAAAAGACTTAGATTAGAGTTAGATTCCTGATGTTTTCTCCATAAAATGCCGGTGTGTATATTTTGGCGTGGTGGAGCTTGTGACAGCGCACTCACTCGGGTGGTTGACGGGGGAGACCTGGATGGTGCTGGTGGGGAGCGCGGGCTGAGACTTGAACCGGTCTCGTTCTAGAGTGGACACAGGGGTGAGGAAGTGGTTCTGGGTCCAGCCGTCCTAGAAGAAATGCAGAAGAACATGTAGGTTATGGGCATAGAAGAAAGGCAATAAATAGGTGCACTCTTCATCGTATTTATAGTAAAAAGTAAGTATAAATCGCTTTGTATGTTTGGATGGATCCTCGACATACAAACTAAAGAAAAAGTACTTGTTTATAGTTTAATACAGACTCATTTATTAACAAGAAAATACTATACAAGTCATTTTAACCCCCTTTTTTCTATGTTTATTAACAATTAAACTTAAGTGGAATTTGATTGATGAGGTCTAAAATAGCTGTTTAGAGTAAATTAAAGGGTCTGTACACAATATTTTTCGATGTATTTGAGACCTTCTTCAGTACAGATATATTGTATAAACAGCTATTGAGTGGATTTAACTTGACAAGTAAAATTATCTTCCAATGAAATAAGTGTGTTTTTCTTAATGCAAAGAGTTGTTGTTTGTCTTATTTTAAGTGTAGCAAGATGTATTTTCATATATTTTAAATACAAAATGTCTTATTCCACTGGCAGATAATTTTACTTGTCAAGTGAAATTTACTCAAATCATGATAAAACTTTCTTAATTCAAATCATCTGAACTTGGCTACATTTTGTTGTTTTTTGCAGTGAACGTTTCATTGTCTGAGAATCAGGAAGTACACTGTTAGCATGCTAGTTAACGCAAGAGGTAAGTGAGGAATAACTATGGACCATGGATCTAGTTCTGTTTTGCTGAAAATAAGGTAGTCCACAGTGCCTTTAAAAGCATCAGTAAAAAAAAATAAACATGAGTTAGAGTTTCTTGTTTGAATGATTCTTTTCAACTTTTTCTGTGAAAAATCATAATTACATTGTTGTACATATACAATAAACAATAGCACTTGACCTACTTTCTTATAGATGGTTCGTAGATCCCGATACTGCCACAGTGTGTTGAGCACCTGAGCTGCTGCTTTCACCACCTTCACAGAATACCTGAAAAATAAACACATTTATAAATATCTTTACATCATTGACACCAAGTTCTCTTTTGTTTCATTCACACATATTTGATTAACCCTTTATTATTAGTATGTCTACATTTCCAAAGGTCAAAATGCTCTGGTCCACCTTGTGATGTCAAGAAGTGGTAGTTTTCCTTTTACCTTTTGTTCAGGAGAGATTGGAAATTCCAGGGCTGAAATGATCCAAATGATTCTAGTGAAGGTGTATGGGGTTTACAAACAAGATGGAGCACTTCCTGTATAACCACATCGCAAAGTGGAACAGAGTGTTTTCTGTGTGAGAGAAGAACTCAGCCTAAATACGCAGGATTTGTCTGTTAAACTTGTGTAAATAAAACAAAACTCCTCCAGGTATATTTTTGATAAGAACATTATAACATACATCAGTAATATGGACCCTTTAACAACTTGCCTACAAAGTTATTCAACCTCCTTACAAGAAACCCCGAAACCTCACCTTGACCAGTGTGTAAACCAAGACTGCTCACACGGCGACAGGATGATGGAAAGTACGCACTGTCCCCGATGCATTTCAACCCAGAACACTACTTTATATAGAGCTAACTCGAAATAGCTGGCAACCCCCACTCCACTGGGACAGCAAACCTCAACACACACAAAAGCACCTTACCTGAGGCTACAGCTTGTCCTACCTGGTGTGTTATGATGTCTGCAGGTGTACCTAATATTCTGTCTAGACTCTGGGGATGGTTAATCAGTTATGAGTGAATGAATAAAGGGTTTTCCCAGATATCAGTGTCAGATTTTAAAAGCCATGTTCCCAATTTTTGCCCTGTGTATTTGAGCAAAGTAGAAACATATACTAAAGGCAGATCTGGAGGTCAAAATAAATATGCTGGGTACTGTCTGCATCTGATTAGAAAGCATTTGTTCGATAATCATGCAGGACGCTCATCGACTGTAAAAGAAGTGAACTAGGCCAACAAGTTATGGGGATGAATTTGGAGCAGGGTTCCATATTAGGAAAAGGAATTTATTTACAGACAAAAAGAAAAAAATAACAAAATTCCCAGGATCATGTAGAGTGGGTTAATACAATAATACATTTTAAGACCAAAATGATGAGGCTCACAACAGCAGTTACACAGAAAGGGACAACAGTTTTTCAATGTGAAGTCAATACATATATCCTGAATTTCAGACTTCCGGTCATCGCGCAGTGCATACTGGGAAGGATCCTCCAAAAAAGTGAGCATCAAATCGCCATGTTTGATTTCCCAGTGGGATGCGTCTATTGACAAAGCTGATCTTTTCAAGTCTTCTGAACCATTTCACTTTTGTTTCTGGTTCTGATATTGTCATATTTTAGTTATGGGATACAGACACTGTAATTGTGTGGTTGCTGGATGTCCTAACAGCGGAAAACGGCTCGAGAAACAGGCTTTGGAAGTTTGCGAACTCCATAAATGCAAAAGGGAATCAGCTCTGTGTGACTGCAAACCTCCGTTCAAACTGTTTCCCTTCCCAGCGGAATTGAAAAATAGTGAAAGGCGAAGGCGATGGGCAGTATTGATACACAGGATGGACAAATAAGGAAACCTTTGGCTGCCTAAGAAATCATCCTGAGATTGCAGTGAACATTTTGTATATGGAGCGCCATCAAAGCAAAATCCCGTTTATTAAGCGAGAGGTGCAGAAGACAAACAGACTGAGCTCGCACTTTCTTGTTTGCAACATTAAGTCTTGGTCATTTTGCAGTGGAAGGTGAGGACTTTTTAAATTTTAAACAAAGGTTGAGCGAGGGATTGGGATTTTGCTTTGATGGCGCTCCACATACAAAATGTTCACTGCAAACTCAGGATGATTTCTTAGGCAGTCAAAGGTTTCCTTTTTCGTCCTTCCTGTGTATCAGTATTGCCTATCGCCTTCACCTTTCATTATTTTTCAATTCCGTTGGGAAGGGAAACAGTCTGAACTGAGGTGTGCAGTCACACAGATCTGATTCCCTTTTGCATTAATGGAGTTCGCAAACTTCTGAAGTCCATTTCTCGAGCCGTTTTCCGCTGTTAGGACATCCAACAACCACACAATTACGATGTCCGAATCCCATAACTAAAATATAACAATATCAGAACCAGAAACAAAAGAGATATGATTCAAAAGACTTGAAAAGTTCGACTTTGTCAATAGACGCATCCCACTGGGAAATCAAACATGGCGATTCGATGCTCACTTTATCAGAGGATCCTTCCCAGTATGCATGACGCGATGACCGGAAGTCTGAAATTCGGGATGCATGTATTGGAGCTAGAGTCGATGGAGATGGAAGTGTCCCTATGAACACTTCTTATTTGGAATGCGGGGCCTAGAGGGTTAGCTATGTCCAGTTATATACACAGTTGTAATCAAAATTATTCAACTTCCAATGCAAATTAGGTTTGTTGGTAAAATGGTCAAACTAGCAGCTGTTTACAAAAAAGAAACCAAACAAAAACAATATAATTCGCTCAACACAACTAATATTACAAGTGGTTTCTCGAAATTCAACACAAAATGCTACTTTTAATGACTACTGCAGTGTCAAAATCATTCAAACCCCTTCAGGACAAGCATCTTTAGTACTTAGTAGAGCACCCATCTGCTGTTATGACCTGCTGCAAACACGGTGATGTATAGCCAGACACAAGCCTCTGGCAGCGTTCCTGAAGAATCTTAGCCCATTCCTCACGGGTAAAGGCTTCCAGTTCACTAATATTCTTGGGTTTGTGTGCAGCAACCACCTTTTTCAAATCCCACCAAAGATTTTCAAAGTGATTCAAGTCAGGCTACTGTGATGTCCACTCTAGTATCTTTCAGGACTTCTTCGCGAAACCAAGCTTTAGTGGACTTTGATGTTTGCTTGGGATCATTTTCCAGTTGAAAGGTCCAATTCTATTCACGGGGTTGAATAATTTTGAGACCGCAGTAGTCATTAAAAGTAGCATTTTGTGTTGAATTTGGAGAAACCACTTGTAATATTAGTTGTGCTGAGCTATTTAAATTGTTATTGTTTGATTTCTTTTTTTTTTAAACAGCTGCTAGTTTGCACGTTTTACCAATAAACCTAATTTGCAGTGGGGGTAAAGTAATTTTGATTGCAATTGAACAGTCTATGAGAGCACGTTGAGTTGTTTTTATCATTATTGTTACGGCAAAACTCTGCTCTGGCCTCTGAAAGTTGTGACTAATGCTTACAAACTCATCACAGTGAAAAATGAAGACGCTCAGAATGCATAAGGTAAGTGAGGAATAACTTTGGAAAACTGCAAACCGCTGCAATTTAAAATAAACTAGTTCTGTTTTTCATTATTTTAAAACTGTAAAAGTCTGCTACGGTGCCTTTAATATCAGTATCGGCAAATATCGGTTATCAGGTCAAAAGAAATCCATATGGGACCATCCTTCGTCCTGTGGCTCTCCTCACCTGTCCCCTCGGCCTCTGGTGATGTTGACCAGTTTCTCTATGCCTCCGGTATCGGCCAGGGCTTTGGCGTTCTCCATGTTCTTGCTGGTCACTTCGTGCAGCGTGCAGCAGATGGCGGCGACGGTTTCATCCGAAAGCAGCGTGGTGTTCCCCCCAGGCAGCCGGTTCACCAAGTCCCTCATGGCGTATTTACCTGAGCAGAGGAAAGAGGTAAATTAATGAAACTTTTACTCCTACTTGTGTAAGATCTTTATTGAAAAAACACTAATCTTGAGTTTAAATGTAATTTTGTCAACATACACCAAAACTACTTCAGATAAAATATACTTTTTCCCCAAATTGTGTGGTCTATCCTTTGAAAACACCAGAGTTTCTAAATTATGTAATGTTTGTCAAACCATTTACACGAATTAAATAAAAAATCAGATGGTACATTCCGACAGCTACTCCCAAATACTTTATTACTCTTACTCAAGCCATTTATTGGAGCACGACTTTGTACTTCTTCTAGTAATATTATTTTAAAGTTACGTTATTCTTACTTTATTACAATTTTTGGCGACTCTACCCTCTGGTTATTGAGACAGGAAATCAGTCTTTTGTTTTGTTTGGTTTCTGTTAATTTGACGGGGTTAGATCGTCTTTACAGTTAATAAAAGTACAAAGTAAAACACATGTGGACAATATTAAAGGTCGGAGGCCACGTTGTTTGTAAATTCTTAAGGAAACTTCAGTGATCTACATTTATTACAAGCTTATCTTAGAAATGAGAACAGTTATAGGCTCTTGTAATGGGTGCCATTTTGAGAACCAGTTTAGATTTTTAACCTCTATGGTAACTATTAGGGATGTAACGATATCCAAATCTCACGGTACGATATTTTCACGATATACATCTCATGGTACGATATTTATTGCGAACAAAACTGTGAATATGCTACTTCTTCCTCTTGCGCCTTGACAAGTCTTAAATCCAAAGAACTAAGACTTAAAAGTGCTTAGAACTGTTATTTCTTCATGTAGTTTGCAACAAAACGGAGCAAAGGATCATGGTCGATGTAGTTCCCTCTGTATTTTCAACTATTGCTGCACTATAACAATGAATTTAAGCAAAGAAACTTGTGAATCGATATATTGTTGAGACACTTTTGACAATATCACAATATTTTGGTTATTGTTACACCCGTAGTAACTATATAAATGTACATCACTTTAGATGACATTGTATAAATACCAAGACCGAGTTACAGGTCAGATCTGTGGAGAGGCAACACCGCTCACTGTCAGAATGTTTGTTTTTATAGGTATTTTTGAGCTATAAAAACACCTGTAATTGAATGAATGTGAAGTAGAGCTGTTTAATGCCATACTGCGGGACATTCCAGGCAGAGCAATGACATCTCCATAGAAATAATTAGGTGACAAAGTTACACAATGCACCTTTAAATACTGCTCTAATCTTGTGCTTTTGTTATACCACTGTATCATATTTACACTACACAACAAATCCCATGACACAGGTATTTCATCTTTGTAGAATATAAAATGTTATACTTTCCAATATGGCCTCATTTTATTAAAGTTAAAAGAATAAAAACAATAAAATAAAATAATACAGTTCAGCGCTACAGAGCTGAATAGCATATGGCATAAAAATGTATTACAAATAAACAGGGCGATAACAAAATCCAATTATTTTCTCCTTTTTTCTGGAGGTGGAAAGTCAACTGCATGATTCCGTGGAAATAGAAAGTTAATGCTGTATTTCAGTGCAATAAAAACACGTTTTCCTAATGAAGAAGCAACCTTTTACATAAAGAAAAGTTATGTAACGATATCCAAATCTCTCGGTACGATATTATCACGATATGCATCACATGGTACGATATTTATTGCGATATTTTGGAGAGGCTAATATAATTGTAGATAGGACACTTTTTTGCTTTTAAAATACCTTGACAAGATTTCAGTGTGAATTATTTCCATTATAATTGCAAGAATTTAAGTAAAAACATATTTCTTCATGTGTCTGCGCTGAAATGAATCATGGGATATGTAGTTCCTGTTGTTTATTAGCTATTTTTACTATAAAACAATGCATTTAAGTAAAAGATTTTGTAATTCGATATATTGTGACAGCCCAACGATATTATTGTGAGACTTTTAAGATACGATATCACGATATTTGGGTTATTGTTAGAGCCCTATAAACCAGTATGGCCCCATTTTACTGCATCATTTAAGTGAATACCAACAGAGCGCATTACTGTAGATCTCGCAGAGTTGAAATGGCATCTGGCATAAAAATTTTAAATGTAATATACAGTCTGCGATTATCACCTCTCTGATATATTCACCGACCACTAACACATTAAGTACACAAATGTCAAATACCGCATACAGCTGCTTTGGCCGTTATTAGACATACAGACCTATGAGTTCCTTGTTCCTAACGTCCAGCGCCATATTTCTCAGCGCCGTGGCGACCGAACACACCACGCGATCATTGTCCATTCGCAACAGCTCCACTAGAATGGGCAGTCCTTTTTCTTTTCGCACCGCTGCCCGAATATACGCCGCAAACTGAAAATAAACAACATTACAAGTTATAGAATAGGATTTCAGTCACTGTCTAGACAGAAGATTTATGGAGGACTACAGAGAGACACTTTATATATATATTTACCACTTTCTACATTTGATATAAATACAGAACACATGAAATATATGAAAAAGATGCACTATGTAACTTTTTGGTTGTGGTTGTTTATATGAATATGTCATTGCTCTGCCTGGAATGTTCCACAGTATGGCATTAAACAGCTCTACTTTACATTTATTCAATTACAGGTGATTTTATAGCTAAAAATACCTAGAAAAACAGGCATTCTGGCTGTGAGCAGGGTCGCCTCTCCATAGATCTGACCTGTAACTTGGTTTGGTTTGGTCTCCATGAAGATAGAAAGGTTTAATGCCATACTGCGAAACATTCCAGAGCAGCGGTTTTCAATAGGTGAGGCTCGTCTCCCTGGGGGGGCGCCAAAGAGCCACTGGGGAGGTGCGACTAAAGCAGGACTGATCCCAGGACTGAACCAGGACTGAACCAGAAACCAGAACTGAACCAGGACTGAGTGTCGGGACTTGCCCAGAGGTGCAACCACATAGACTGTCGGGTGACCAGGGGGCGAAAGGACCGAGGCAGAGCTCCACACCCCACGGGGCCAAGCATAGCCGTCGCCCGATCACACTCTGCTCTGAGGGCTCGGAGTTCTCCCTCTCGCTCTCTCAAGTCCAAGATTAGTCCTGGTTTAGTCCTGGTTTAGTCCTGGTTTAGTCCTGGTTTAGTCCTGGTTTAGTCCTTTGGTTTTAGACCTGGTTTTAGACCTGGTTTAGACCTGGCCTGGCTTTAGACCTGGTTTAGTCCTGGTTTAGACCTGGTTTAGACCTGGTTTAAACCTTGTTTAGTCCTGGTTTAGACCTTGCTTTGCTGAAAAATATTTATTTAACCTTTTTCTTTACTAAATAATTCTATATATCTTGCTTCGTATATTTGATGTGTTCTTTTTGTGTCTAAAATTTAGAAATTGGTAAGAAAAAAAAAATGAATGAGAGGGTCTGTCCAGCCTTTTCACTGGTGCTGTTTAAACGCACACACTCTCATTCATTTTCTTTGCTATATAGAAAGTAGTAAATATATAGAAAAACACTGAATGAGGCGGTGAGTCTTGTGAAACTTTTGACCTGTACATTATACAGACAGATATTGTGAATTGTACCTTCCAGTTGCCCGCTGATAGGTTTTGAAGCGAGCCGGCAGCCCCCTCTAAAGTGGCGGGATTGGAGCTCTCGGCCAGTAGTGTGAGGTAAGGCTTCACCACAGCGGGGTGCCACAGCATCTCAGCACCCTTTGGAGATTTGGAGAAGCCCGGTATAGGTCCCACACCGTCCCACTAGACAAGAAAAACAATGTGATTTCAATTCATGGTATTGTACTCGTGTAGTCCATAGAGTATGTGCCAGATGTTTACAATGTCTGTTGAAACTAAATATTTAAGACAGCACAGAATAAAAACAAGTTGAGTTCATATGTTGTTAGGTTCTTTGTTTAGACTGTTTAGAGTTTGTTTCGACTGTCTCCCTGTGGTCTTCCTCAGAGTGGTCACGTGATGTTGCTGTGACATGTCCGGTCAGCTGATTTAAACAAATTTTGGCGGTCTTCCTACCAGTGGAGGCAGGACGACAGCGCCATCTGCAGCCCGACTTCCTCAGGACAGTGTGTGAGAGGCGTGTGAGACTATAAAAAGCCCCCTCGTCCCGGTTTATAGTCCCGTGGGCATGTTTCCGTATTCCGATTGCCTCTTTAATCCAGAGACGGTGTTTGTTTTCCTCTGTCCCAGTCCATAATGCGGTTGTTTCTTTTATAGTGTCAGAAATGGCAGATTTGAGTTGTTCCTGTTCTGCTTTGTGTTTTGTTGCTCATGTGCACGCCTTCGCCGTTTCCTTCTCGCATTCTGTTCTCTGTTTCTTTTTTTGTGTACTCCCTGTTTCCCCGATGTGCGTTTTATTGTAGGAAAACGGCGCCAAAACCTGTATGAATCAGCTGACCAGACAGCGAACGCGTCACAGCAACATCACGTGACCACTCTGAGGAAGACCACAGGGTGCAGTCGAAAATGTCAGGTATGAAAACAAACTCTTGGTCTGAAAAAAGAACCTCATAACATAAAATATCAGACGACCAAATGAACCTAAGTTGAGTTCATAATTAGTAAAAGTTCAAAATAAGGTCATGACAACAAGATTTTCCCACACAATCTGCTAGTTTCTGTGTTCTAAAAGTATGAATTATTACTTTCTTTTGAAGTGCCAAATTACGAACAGACTTTTTAGCAACGTATGATACTATTTTGACTTATAAAGATAAAAATGGGTTATCTTCACATGTCATAATTTCAAATGGAGAGCAGGGGTCTACAGTATATAACTATATGGGAGATTCACTGTTTTTACAAGAAATAAAAACTTATGATCCACAATGTTGAATCATCTTTATTTGATAAGAACTGGCTCCACAAACATGCATTATTAATATGGCTTAAAGTCCTTTGAACGGACAACAATTACGCCTTTGGGGTTGAATAACGGCACAACGATTATGAATAAAAACATTTCCCTGTTCCTTTATATGCTGACAGAAGACTTTGTAATTACTGGGCCCATCCATAAACTTTGACTCTTCAGAGATATTAACCATAAACGAGAAAATACAGATTCTACAATGTTGAGATGTCACGTAAACGCAGCTTATTGACCTGGGAACTATAAAAATATGGGTTGATTGGGGAAAATCTCTGTTTTTGTTGTGTTACCATGTTTAAAGTAGAAGCAGTTTTCATATATTTTTCTTTAAAGAACTAATGACTCATGAAAAAAAGAAGAAAAAAAAGGAACTACAAGAAGTAAATCCCACAATACCGTTGACTACACATATACAGTTATTACAAAATGAGATGATTTGCATATTTAAGCCCCTTGTCAAACTCACAGTGTCTTCTTGTGGACTCTTTTTCTTCTTCTTCTTTCGTCCCCAGCAGCTGGAGTCTTCTTCTTTGTTGGGAGACTCGCATCCTAAAAGCCCGTCCACCTCACTGCCCCCGATCATCCGCGAGGGGGGCAACTCCAGCTCCAGGCGGTACGACAGGTTCCTCAGAGTGCAAATACAATTCTCCACGATCTAAAGACAAAGTTTGAGCAAGTTAGACATTTTTTTCTCAAATAAAAGCACAAAGAACAAAATGGTAATTCATCTTTTAAGCCTGAAGTATTTGTAATAAAAATACACTTCTTACAAGGAGTTTGGACTGGGATAAAATTAAAAAAGACATCATTTTATAGTTTAACAAGTCAAGAGTAGAAGGACTAAGATTTAACTGGCAAGCGGGATTTGGTGTTAAGCCTTAGAAATTAAAAGTGTCAGTTTGTAATTTTTCTGGTGAGGATGTCCAGCATCTGCTTATCTCCATGGAAATGTTATTGGTTTGCTTGGAATGTTCCAAAGTTGCTTCATTGAGATTAGTCATCTTAAGGCAGACATGTCAAACTCAAGCACAGGTGCCAAATTTGGCCCGTGATATAATTATATTTGGCCGGCGAGATCATATCAAATATGTATTAGAGCTGCCAGTCGGCTACAGACTGGCTATAGCAGGGATCTCCAACCTGTATTAACTCTCCACCCCCTTCCAAGTCACTCACCAAGGAATTTCTGAATTATAAGTACGGTGCTGAATAACTCAAATTTGATTAATTAAATGCCTTTGTTATTGTAAATTTTCTTTTTTTTCTGCACTCATAAATAAATAATGGTTTATGTTTTATCTAACTGTACCCCATCTAAGTCTTGCCATGACTCTTATGTAAACTTTATTTCCTGTAGCCGCTAAAATTAGTAGCTCTGTGGAATTTTCATTTTGTAAAGGTAGATCACCTGAGGAAAAAGGTTGGAGACCCCTGGGCTATAGAGACATTATTTATTTAAAATTTTGTTATTATTTTTTATTATGCTTGTTCTGGATTCAGTGTTTAAGCAAAACTATTATTAAACATTTATTTTAATAAGAAAACATTTAACATTACATATCTCAAAAGAAGAGAAAACATGCAGATGTCGTTGAAAGTTCGTCAGTTCGGCCCACGACTTAGCTCCAGGTTTTAATTTTGCTCCTCTGTGAAATTGTCTTAATGGGACTTTCCTGGTTAAATTAGTTTAAATAAAAATGTTTAAAATCCTCCATGAGGACGAGCAGGTAATGCCACAACGCAAAGTTACAGGTCAAGTCTGTGGAGAGGTGCGTCTGCTCAGAGTACTGTATTTTCCGGGCTATTAGTCGCTCTGGATTATAAGACGCACTGTCATTAAATGGTCTATTTTGAACTTTTTTCACAAATAAACTGCACCGGACTTTAAGTGAAACACAACTGTTCGATGGGTCAGTCGGACTTTGTTTGGCGCGTTCACGGTGACTCTGGGCTTTGTTCAGTTGTGGCGTGTAGGGAGGGTGCTGTCTGGAACCGCTGGATTGTCGGTGTGTTCGCGGTGACTCAGTTGTTCAGTTGTGTCTAGAAGTGGCACATCGCACTCGCTTTTTCAGTTCGTTCCTCCGTTCCGTTCCTCGTCCTCATGGAGTGATGAGTGTGGCTGTGGGTGTTTTTCGCTGAGCGGTCGCTGTCTGCTCCGTGTGTGTTTGCGTGCGCTGCGGGTGGTGTGGCTTTGTAGTTTACTGAAGTCGTACAGGAACACCCGAGTGGATTCATGTATAGGGCGCTCTGGATTACAGGGTGCGCGGTCGTTTTTTGATAGGGTTAGAGGCTTAAGAGCGCCCCCAATAGCCCGGAAAATACGGTAAACATTTTTGAGCAATAATCACACAAAAATAAAATGTGAGATAAGAAACATTAAATGCCGTACTGTGGGAATATTCCAGGCAGAGTAATAACATCTCCAGGTCCATAAAAAAAGTTACATAATGCACCTTTTATATGTAATCTGGTAGAACCCAAATATAGTTTACAGATTACTTTGTGAGAGTCAAAAAGATTTAAAGACGTTTTTTGTTCTTTCTGTATACTGACACAAGAAAAAGACATGTGTCCGACTGATGCGGCGTCATGGCGGGAGGCCCTAGAAAAACTGACAGAAGCTACAATACACAAATCGCCAGTGTATCCGCCAACTTTCCTGGCGTTACAAATCAATTAGTCACAGCATCTAAAAGGGCGTTTGGTTAGAAAGTCTATCTCCGAGCCGGGCTAATACACTGAGCCCCATACTGTGTGACTGCACCGGCGAGCAGAATGTCAATGAGGGCGTACGTCTGACAGAGGAGAGGCCCGGCTCCCATAGGATTACAAATGAACCACTTGAGTCTTGAAGTACTTCCACACCACATAAAAGTACATCTGGGAGCGTGATTTAATCTGACATGCACATAAACTGTCAGTAGCGTGTAGATAAGGAGAGGGCTCTGATCATGATATTTTAATTGGACGGTGCTTAGGGCAGCGAAGCGTGGAGTAGTTTTCCGCTCGCTTCGGCGCGCATAATTCAGACAGGAAGACATCTTTAAACAGGCAACAGAAGATTTCCCTCGCGGTTCTTATCTTACACCAACATGTTTTTCGTCAACGGAGCAGTCAATAATGTTACATGTTAAAAAATGGCAGGGTGTGATTTGATTAGAACTGGAGTCAAGATATAGTTTGTACTTGTTCTGATGAAGATGAAGATGTGTTCGTGTTTTTTAGAGTCGTGTTTATAGTAACGGGAGGGAATTTGGTTCAACATGACTAATACTGCACATAGATATAGTGTCCAAATAAAAATTTAACCAATAACATGGGCACAAAAAGGACGATAAGTTAAAATCTACTCTTGAAATGCTAAAAGGTAATATATGTGTCTGTTTTATACATTTAGTGTTTATACATTTGTACAAAAACAAAATAATAAAACAAAATCTAGCCAAGTTCAAATGACTTGACTTCAGTTTTATCATGATATGAGTAAATTTCACTTGATAAGTAAAATTATTTGCCAGTGGAATAAGACTTTTTGTACTTAAAAATATGAAAATACATCTTGCTGCACTTAAAATAAGAAAAACAACAACTTTTTGCACTTAAAATAAAAAACACACAAGAAAAATACACTTATTCCATTGGTAGATAATTTTACTTGTCAATGAATCGACTCAAATAAAGTCAAATAATCTTAATCTAAGTCATTTTAATTTACCTAGATACTGTTTTTTTCCAATGTAAGGCTGTGCCATTAACTGAATTTTTTATTTCGATTTTCGATTTCGATTTGTGTGTCAAACGATCTCCAAACTCATAATCAAGTTGAAATGATGAAGCTTAACAGTTTATTTTGGGATTTTTTTTTTAATATAAAGTGAATTTATTTTATTTTTTAACTATAGAGATTGTAGAACAGCTGGATATATAGTTTATTTTGGATACATTTATGTTTTTCTATGCCTTATTTCATGTTCGAAGTACATTTTATTCATTTTATGTCACATATTTATATCGCAAAACTGCTCTAACGTACATATTTGTAGTCTATATTTAATTTCAATTTGAAAGTTTGGCATAAATTATCAATAACAAAGTGTTCAGTGTTTTTTGTTTTTTTTTTGAGAGAGAGAGAGAAATGCTCAATAAATGCATCGTGTAACTAATAAATAATCGTTTGAATAATCATGATTTTAATATTGACCATAGTAATCGTGATTTTTTTTTCCATAATCCAGCAGCTCTACAGGAATGTGTCAGAAATCATTTTAGCCCAACTTTATTTCGCAGTTTTTAAAATTATTTAAAATCTGTCGAATCAGACGGATTTAACACCACACAAGTACAATTATCAGTGTGTTAGAGAAAATCCCATTTCACTGCAAGTTCAGTCCTTATTATCTTGGATTACGTCACCGGAGGTATAATACTCCCTACGACGGAAGCATATGCAGACTGGAATGGACAACACTATCATAATGTCTTGAGGGTTCATGTCTCCGGGTGGTGGGTGCCGAGGGAAAGAACAAAAGTTACACATGTAACTATGGTTCTATGAATCCTGCGAGAGACTGTTCAGGATCAGAGTCACACAGGATGTTTGCATTTCCACAAAAAGAGTGACGTGTGAACATTGCGTGCTTTCAGTATTACGCTCAGGTGATCATCCAGGATTCGTTTGCATCGAATTTTTCAAAGTCTAACCCAACAAAGAAAAATATTGGCTGAACTATATTATTTTACCAACTAAAAATAAAACTTTCACTATAGTATTATTATTGAAACCAAAAGATATTCAGACAGAAATCAGGGTAGCTCTTGTAACTAGTCCACAAAAACTCCCGTGTAAACAAAGCAGTGTGTGGGTGTATAAACGCTCTGTACCTTGCTATCAAAGTCCGACGTGTTGACGCAGGCTTTAATGACGTAGAGCAGAGAGTCCACCAGCCCCTCACAAGTGCGCATCTGTTTTCTGGCCTCCTCCCCGGCTGAACTCAGGTTCCTGTCAAAACAACCACACCGCCTTTGATTTGGGGCTGAACTCCACAAACAAATGGGCAATAATGACACAAAATGGCAGCTGTGTGGGTTTACGATGTATGACACGTGTGTGGTCTTGACCCATTAGAGTGTGTACGTAAATAACTAGATGTCGACCATAAACAGTAGTGGTATAGATCTGTATATGCGCGGTCTGGTTTGAACCCACTGTCTCCAATTAAAGTGCTGTGTTGTACATCCAGCAGGAGCCTTCAAAGAAATTACCCCCCAGAGAAAAGCTTGACATGTTACATCACCACACACTGGACCGCCTGGTACAGAACAGGGTCAAACCGACTCATGCTCTGCTGTAAGAACCAGGAAAACAAAAGAATATTCCTCTATTTTAAGGTGCTTTTTTTTTTACTTGTGGTGGTGGGTTTGTCAAAAGCTTTTTATTTCTTTGTTTGGAATGTTTCACAGTATGTTATTAAACCTTTCTATATTCATGGAGACTAAAGAAGACCAAGTTACAGGTCAGATCTGTGGAGAGGCGACCCCGCTCAGCAGAGGTGGGGTCTTGTGAGTCGTGACTTGGACTCGAGTCAGACTTGAGCCACTATTTTTAGGACTTGAGACTTGATAAAATGGACTAACACTCGGGACTCGACTTGGACTTGAAGGAAAGTGACCTAGGACTTGACTCGGACTTGAGCCCTGTGACTTGAGAAGACTTGATGCTTTTCCTAAAAAAAATATATGTTTTTAGAAAATACTTTTCTCTTTTCAGCTGATACATGCGGCGTTTAATTTCACAGGAACAAACTGGAACATGTTTCTCTCACTTCTCTGTTTGTTACTTTGGATGTAACTGAAGTACTGTGATACTTCAAATGTACTACAGTAATATACACAACAATAAAGTACAATACAGTAAAACAGAGGGAACTACACAGAACATGATCCTTCATGACAAAATAACTGATATTTAGCACTTTTAAATCTGAATTCTTTCTGTTCTGACAGTAATGATTCACATTAAGATCTTGTCAAGACATTTAAAATGGAAAAAATTTGAGAAATTTCCATTTATACATCAAATTCAAATTCAATACATTCAAATCATGAATTGCAAAAATCTAATCTATATTTGGTGCTTTACTTTAAAGACTTGAAATGACTTGAAGTTCAAAGCAGACGACTTGGACTTGACTTGGATTTATGGGCCAGTGACTCAAGACTTGACTTGGACTTGCCTGTATTTAACTTGGGACTTGAGGTCAAAGACTTGAGACTCACTTGAGACTTGCAAAACAACGATCTGATCCCACCTCTGCCGCTCAGAGTCAGAACGCCTGTTTTTCTTGGCATTTTTGAGCTACAAAACCATATGTAGTTTGATAAATGTAAAGTAGAGCTGTTTAACGTTACACTGTGGAACATTCCAGGCAAAGCAATGACATCTCCATAGAAACAAGCAGGTCATGACCCCCAATCAAAAAGTTACATAGTGCACATTTAAAAAGCAGTAATATATACATTTCCCCCTGGTTGTAAAATGATTCTCACTTGGATCTACTGGATGCAGTTGCAGTAATTGTCCACACAGAGGTGCTAGTGCAAAGCAAGCCAATTTGAACTATTTAAAACACAGCAACAGCCTAAAACAGGGTTGTCCAAAATTCTTTCACACAGGATATGGTTCATATGATGAGTCATTCAGATGGAAGTTTTTACACACTGTCACTGAACCTTTAATAAGACATGGGGCATTAATCTTAGATCTTTATCACAATGTAATGTGGTGTTGCTGAGGTTAGAGTGACACAAATACTTAAAAAATTAAAACGTACTACTTATTTGGGTTAATTCAGCAGGCAGCCCTGGGCCATAGTGTGAACACCTCAGGCTCAAAATGATTTAATTAGTTGAAAAATACAACATCAAGCTCAATATATGCGTTATGTTTGTGGTTTTAATAAGGGAGGTTTAGTGATTTCAAAATGCAAAAATGTGTGCCATATTTGTGACACATTTGCGACTGATTTGATTTTAGTGTTTCGAGTGGAGGGTCTGCCACCTGCTTGTCTCCATGGAGATGTTATTGCTTTGTCTAGAATGTTCCACAGTATTGACTAAACCTGTCCATCATGAGGGAGATGAGCAGGTTACGGCACTACGCTACATTACAGTTCAGATCTGTGGAGAGTCGCCCCAAATTTTTATGTTTCTGAGCAGTAGAAACACCTGTAATGAATAAATATTAGATGGATATTTAAAGTCATACCATGGAACATTCCAGCAAAGCAATAACATCTCCATGGAGACAAGAAAGTGGACCTTTATCTGAGATGAAATAAATAAAATTACAGATAGTGGAGTCCTGCTAAAAGTTCAACTGCACTTGAATGGGTCTCGAGTTTGATTTTTATAGCTCCAAATAATAAAAAGTAAACAAGAGATGGGCAATTATCAAACTTTAATGTCATGATTTTTTAATGTCAGCCATGTCTAATCATCAATGATCAGCTTTGTAATGGAGACCAGCCAATATTCAGTAAAAGCATGTGGTTTGGGGCAGAGTTGAGACTTTGGAGGAAAACATCAACTATTTTCTGTGTTAAATGCCACAGATTAAACTTGTTTCTTGTTTATGTTCATGAAATAAAAATTGTAAGCCATTTTTATTTTGATTTTGGTCCAGCCTTAATTTTAAACTTCTAAAAGGAACTGTATATACAATTTAGATTTTTTACTGTAAGCTTTAAGATATGTTATAATGTTGTTACCTCGTCAAAAACATACCTGGAGTTGTGTTTTGTTTCATTAAAACACTCTGTTCCACCTTGAGGTGTCATGAAGCTCCAACTTAACAACTACCTTTTACCATTTGTTTAGTAGAGATTGGAAATTCAAGGGCTAAAATTATCCAAATGATTATAGTGAAGGTGTATGGAGTTTAAAAACACAGTGGGGCACTTCCTGTATTACCACATGATATTAAAGTAGAACAGAGGGTTTTCAAATGAAGAATAAATAAGCAGGGTTTGTGTGTTTAATATGCGAGAATGAAACTAAATAAAACTCTAGGCGTGTGATAAGGAAACAACATTAAAACACAGATAAGAAAGTAGCGTAATATAATGGAACTTTAACTTTAACTTCAAAGTAAATTATTGTTGCTGAATGAGTTTGGCTCGCTGGGCTGTCGTCCTTATTTTGTATTTTGTATAGGGCATCTTTGCGGGAGGCCTGCTATGCGATGATCAACATCTACCCCATGCCGTGAGACATCTCTAGTTCATTAAACAGCCCTATAGGAGAGTGCATACCTCAGGCAGCCCGTGGTGTTCCTCAGAACCAGAGACGAGTGGAACTTGAGCTTGTGGTCATCGTCAAACGTGCTGCTGCTCCAGCCCGAGTGAGGGATGATCACAGTGTTGGTCAGAGGGTTTAAGGCGTCACGAATGATTGTCATTTTGACGGCATCGCACGAGGACAGGTTCCACAGCACCCCTGCAGAGAGAGAGAGAGAGAAAAAAAAAGAAAGAGAGGGAGGAAGAGCGTGAGAGAAAGAGTGAGTGAGAAAAAGAGACAGAGAGAGGAAGACATTTTTGATTAGATTTTGATAATTCATTAATTCACAGTTATAATCGTGGATCATTATGTTATAATTTGGCTATTTTAAATCGCAATATTAATCTTAAATGACTTCATAGACAGATATAATTTAATACTTTAATAATACTTTATTATCCCAAATGAAATTCATTTCAGGCAGAAACAATATATAATAACAATAACACAGAAATTCAGTTATAGTGAAGCGTTGAATAGCCGTATGGCGTGTGGAACAAACGACTTCCAGAGTCTGTCTGTGGAGCAGGACAGGGACAACAGCCTGTTCCCAAAGGTGCTCTCTGGGGATGGTGCTGTAACAGGGGGTGCTGGGGGTTATACAGAATGGACAGGAGCTTGTTTAGGGCCCTCATCTCAGCCACAGATGTGAATGAGTTTAGCTCTGCTCCACTACAGATCCTGCCTTTCTCACCAGCTTATCCAACCGCACGCCACCCATCACCTTCCCCAGCAGATCACAGATTTGAAGAGGACACTGGAAATGACTGACTGATCGAACACCATCAGCAGGAGCTTATGGCAAGTGTTAAAGGACTTCATATTTGTAAAGGACTAATTCATATTAGGACATATTCATAAAGGACTAATAAAAGAAACAAGTCCGCTGACAGGGCCCAGTGGGAGCTGACGTCGCCATAAACTGCACATCATGCAGCTGTGGCAATATGGAGTCCTGAAAATAGGTGATTAAAGATTGCTGAAACACGCACGAATTACTCCCAATACAACGTTGAGAGGAGAAATGATGAGAGGAAACAACTGTAACATGGTTAAAAGCTCTAACAAGTCCATTTTGCATAACAGGTCTGCTTTAACATACTATTTACAAAAACAGAGGTCAAAAAATGAACTCCTCCCAAACATCCAGCGGTCCTCAAAGCCCTCCCCGTCACGAGAAAGAGAGACAGAAAGAGAGAAGTTTTATTTTTAACAGACCTGTCAAAACATTTTGCCATTACATTTCTGTCTCACCTCGTGTTATTTACAAAAACAAACTGAAGTAAGTACATGTATTTGCACATGTATTAAACTATTTACAAAAACAGAGGTCCAAAAAAGAGCTAAAAGAGAGAGGGGAGAGAGGAGGGGGTAAGAAAACAAAAAATAAAGAAAGAGGGAGAGAGGGGGATAGAGAGAACAGTCGAGAGAGCGAGCCAGACAGAAAGGGCGAAAGAGAGAGAGGGTGTCGAGGGCGAGGGGAAGAGAGAAAGAGAAGCAGAGAGACAGCATGTAAACAGAGGTACACATGTAGGCAGGGACAGAGGCACGCGGAGCTGGAGTTTGGTCAGCTGTCAGGTGGAGTTACTGTCCTCTCAGTGACCAACAACAACACCAGCTTATAATAGAGCACAATGTGTGGACAGGTCCACAAACAGAAACTAAACAGGCACTTGTTTACCATCACCTTAGCTTCAAAATGAGTCCAAAAAAAGTCTGAGTCCTTGTTTTAAGTGGAACTAAAGACGGGAGATGAACAGATATACTGACAAACTGATATAGTGGGACGATATTTGAGCTTTTTTGCGTATTGGTTATCGGCTTTCACTCTCCCAGACTCACCAATTGCTGCAATAGTGTTAAAATACAAAATAAATCTAATTCCTTATTAATTAATCATTGAATTTACATACATCTTTCAAGACACAAGTGCACACATCACATTCATACTAGGCCAGGGGTCAAGAACCCGCGGCTCCGGAGTCACACATGGCTCTTTCATCCATCCGTTGTGGATCCCTGTGACTTTGGAAAATAAATAATGAATATTGAATTACAATGTATTTTTATTTTAGTTTATTCACTTTTAAATCTAATTCTAAATGTGTAGATAATGGTAATCTTGTAATATTCAAATAAAACGTTTTTAATATTCATTTTTTTGTACGTTGCAGGTTGATAATTTAAGTTTTGGATCTTTATTTCCTACAAGGAGGACTCAAATATATATTGAGTAATAAAGTGTTGAATCCAGCTTTGCGCACATTTATTTATGTTAAACTACATGGATACCGTATTTTCTGGGCTATTAGGTGCTCTGGATTATAAGACGCACAGTTATTAAATCGTCTATTTTCGAACTTTCTTGACAAATAAACCACAACAGTTAAATGGGTCAGTGGGACTTTGTTTGGCGCGTTCACGGTGACTCTGGGCTTTGTTCAGTTGTGGCGTGTAGGGAGGGTGTGTCTGGGGCCGCTGGATTGTCGGCGTGTTCGCGGTGACTCAATTGTTCAGTTGTGTCTAGAAGTGGCACATCGCTCTCGCTTTTTTGGTTCGTTCCTCTGTTCCGTTCCTCGTCTGCATGGAGTGATGAGTGTGACTGTGGGTGTTTTTCGCTGCGCGGTCGCTGTCTGCTCCGTGTGTGTTTGCGTGTTCTGCGGGTGGTGCGGGTTTGTAGTTTACTGAAGTCGCGCTGGGACACCTGAGTGGATTCGTGTATAGGGCGCTCTGGATTGCGGGGTGTGCGGTCCTTTCTTGATAGGGTTAGAGGCTTAAGAGTCTAATAGCCCGCATAAACTATAAACGCTGAAAAAAAACGCTTGTTCCTTGTGCTGCTGATGTTGTTCAGCTTCTGTAAGACTGAAGGACACGATGATGTGTGTTCTTTGTGTAACAGAGCGATGTGCTGCTGATGGTGAGTCTGTTCTGTGCCTTTATCGCGTTGGAGATGGCTCGTGTTAAACTTTTCAGAGATTGTAAGTCTGCATCTCATACACATACGATATATATGAATGGACAAATATTCTCTGCAGCATTTCATTGATTTCATAAAGGCAACACACTAGAGTCTTTTATACAGAGCATACAGGTAAAAAAAAAAAAGATATGCAGTGTTATCCTCATTTTAGAGTCAAAAGTGTTTGTAGCTCCGGGTGTTTTCTTTTCTGTGGGAGATGCTCCAAATGTCTCTTTGAGTATTTAAAGTTGCTGACCCCTGTACTAGGCAATGTGGGTGAAGTGTCTTGCCTAAGGACACAGCAGCAGTTTTTGCCACTGGCGCCTCACTGAGCAAACACAGCAGAGTCTAAAATGGATGATACTGATATATAATAAATAAATGCCCTATTCCTGTGCCGGGAAAATAGATACCACTGTCTATACACACTGTAATACGACTGGACAGCTTCAGCCAAACACTGCAAACAGAGCAGTTCTGTTCAGTATAAACTCGCATCCATAGCGTTGGCGTGCGCTATGGAAAGTTCCGTATTACATAAGTCCCCATCGCGTTGGCACGTGTTAAAAAGTTACTGTTATGAAGTCATCCGCATGTGCCCAGACTGCCCTAAAGGGTCCACTGGAATTGTCTGACAAAGCACCGAAAGTTGAATCGTTTAAAAGTTTTTCTGTCAAATACGGTGACAAGCTATGTACTCCGCATCTGACATTCGCATCAGATTCCTCTTGTGGGTGGACAATAATATTTTCCCCAGTCAAAATAAAAAAGACAGAAGGAAGATTTGATTTGACACCGGCTCAACCATCTGAAACCCATGATATTTTAGTCTTCCAAAAATAATAACATTGTGTCACCAAATTCAAACTTGATCATTACGACGCGCAGGGCTGGCGGCCTTTGATTCGCTGTGTGTGTCAGGGATTATCTGTATGTAGAATATTCTTTTAATTAGAGGACAATGCGAACACTAACCCCGGAGCAGAGTAGTAAAGCGACCCAGGGCATGTCAGGTTATACAAGAAATTCACATTTTTTTGGAATTTTTGCATGTTTTGGTACTGCTCGTTTTGAGATTTTATTTAAAATTTTGCCGTGAGTTTTAAATGTACTGTTAAAAGGTGCATTGCGCAACTTTTCTGGTGGAGGGTCCGTCACCTGCTTGTCTCCATGGAGATATTATTGCTTTGCCTCGAATGTTCCACAGTCTGACATTAAACGCATATCTATCATTTATTCATTATGGATGTTTCTATTGCTCAAGAATACATTCACTCTCTATGAATAGGGTCGCCTCACCGCAGATCTGACCTGTAATGTATCCTATAGTTGTTAGGCTTAATCTTTACCGTGGAACATTCTAGACAAAGCAATATCATTTTCATGGAGACAAGGAAGCAGGTGATGGACCCTCCACCAGAAAAGTTGCGCAATGCAGCTTTAAAATGATTCTTGAACGTAACTAAATTATCTATTCTGTTGTTTTTTTCTTTATTTTTCTGCCTGCAATCTGAATATATTGTAGCCACAGCTGCCCTGGGGCAATCTGCAGTCTCTCCAAGCACCCACTCTTCACCCATGCATCACAAACTACATGTGGTTGAAGTGTCTTGCCTGTGGACACAAAAGCAGTCTGAGTTGGATCTAACCATCAACCTGGTACATGACAACTACCTGACTACCAATGTTGTTTTTTTTAATCTATATGAAAATGTAATTATTTGAGAGGCTTCGCTTGAATAAGAAAGTGAATGTCTTATTTCCCCTATTGCCTAGACTAGAAGAATAGAAGAATACTGCAGAATAGAGTTTTACAAAAATTTTTTATCTTTATCTTGTATAAAATTATAGAAAGCGCCAATAAACCCAGAGACATGATGACAAAAATGCATCACAATATTTTCCTCATACTGAATGATTTCAATTTTTGATTCAATTCTATTTTGTTCTTAAAAACAAATGTCAATATTACTTGTCTGAACTAAGCAATGCAAAATTTTAATGAGAACTATTTAACACAAAATGGTCAAATTCTCTACTGCAAATTCTGATCTCCACAAGTTTTTTTTCCCCTGAAAATTGGCTGTATAACTTTCTATTAAAGGTGCACTATGTAACTTTTTGGTTGGGGGTCTGTCACCTGCTTGTTTCTATGGAGATGTCACTGCTCTGCTTTGAATGTTCCATAATATGACATTAA